CACCCCGAACGACGCACGTGTTATGAGCGCTCAGAGCATTTAGGCCCCCCCCCCCCCCATTGGTAGTGCATCAGACGTTGATTTTATCTTGACTTTAGGTTTTTTTGTTCTTAATCCTTCCGGAAAAACTATTAATGGTACAGAGAATGTTGTTTTATTTAATGTTGGTTTAAGCTTATAGATTAACAATGATTCTTTCACTAACAATTGGTAACGTTTGTTATCCCTAGCTAAAATGTTAAAATTCGTCCAATCTATTATATGATTATTATTATTTTCATGTTGTTTAACTGCTGAATGTGTTACATTATTCTGTTCAAAAAGGGTTAATTCATTGTGTGTTTTTGGAAAATAACGTATTACTTTGCCTTTATTTCTCTCAGACCGTTGAAGATTACTAGAGTTATCAGTTACATCTTTATAATAAGATTTTGTTTCTTTTTCCTTGATAAGATCAGCTCCATGTTCTTGAAGTCTTCTACAGATCTGTCGTATTATTTTTCCTATGTATGTAGCTTCACAGTTAGAACAATCCAACTTATATACAGCGTTGGATTTAAGTGATTTAGGTATTGGATCTTTTATTGGGAAATATTTAGATAAAGAAGATGGTGGTCTTTGGATCGGCTGAATGCGTATTTGAGGATTTATGGATTTTGCTAAATTAATTATCCGTTTTCCGAAAATTTCTGTTGATCTACCAAAAAATGGTATATCAATGAAAACTTGCTCTTTTTTTAATGAATTATCTTTATTATTCTTATTTTGTTCTTTGGATTTATATAATTATGTTCCATTAATTTTATCAAAATATCTACCTAATGTTTTTCGAATTTGTGATTTTATAAAACCTTCTGGATAGCCATTTAAAATACCAATAAATTCTATAAATTCAAATTCTTCATGCAACAAGTCATAAGAAGAACAAATTTTTATTGCCCTGTACACCATACTGCTTATGGTACTAACTTTATAAGAATAAGGAACAAAGGAATTCCATTTAGTTATCAAGCCTGTATATGTTGGCTTTCTATAGATAGTTGTAGCGAATGATTTAGTAGAATTTAATGCATTTATATCGGCAATGATAGTTGAATTATTACTGGAATTATTCAATAAATTATTGACTGGAATATTAGATGCAATCTTATTTAAATTACTATTTATAATTCTCAATGATTTAAAATTAGAGTTAATAGTTGAATTATTATCCATCACCTCATTTGAAAAAGTATTTAAATTAATAGAAGATTTATTATTCAGTTTATTATTTGAATTACTAGAAGTTTTCATGTCTACATTTTTAGCTAAATTACTAAATGGTTTATTATTTAAGCTATCAGTTGATTTGATATTCAATTTATTAGACGAAGTGCTAACAGATTTATTATCTAACGTATTTTTTTGAATAATGGATGAATTATTATCCAAATTATTATTTGAGTTAGTAGATAATTTTTTCTTAGAGTTATTAATTGAATTAATAAACGAATTAATCTTAAAATTATTATTTATATTAGTAGAAGTAGTATTGTTTGAAAGGTTAGTTGGACTACTAAATAATTTATTATTTGTATTATTAGGAGGTTTAATAATCAAGTTATTAGTTAGATTAGTAATTGATTTATTATTCACGATATTAGATAAATCCTTCGAAGATTTATTATTTAAACTATTAGTTGATTCTTTGTTTGCATTATAATTAGTTAAATTATCAGTACACGTGTTAGTTGGATCATTCATTGAGTTATTGGTTGGTAACCTTGTAATGTATATGTCAAGAAAGGGTAATGAATTATTTAGTTCTTCTTCATACGTGAAAACAATGATGTTATCAAAACTATTAAGTATATCAATTATCTTATCAACATTAACGATTTTTTCTATTATAGCAAACGTATCATCAACGAATCTTTTCCAATACAACAAACCATTCTTTTTTAAACATGATATTAATTTTTCCTCTAGATAGTTAACATAAATGTCAGGAAATAAAGGTCCAAGAGGTGAATTCATCGGGACACCGTTAGTTTGTGAGTAAATTATATTATTAAAGATAAAGTTTGTATTTTCAGTTGAAGTCTGAAGTAAATATTTCATTTCAAATCGATTTTTACATTTACTGCACCAATCCTCTCGTTTTCTTATCACTATAAGTACAAGTGTGCTCTGGTCCATATGGTTTATCAAGAATTATTTGTATAGTGCGATGTAATGGAACATTAGTAAATAAGCTAGTGATGTCAAAAGAGATCATCTTATCTGAGAATTATCAAATTTCAATGAAAGCAATTCATCAACAAAAGTGAATGTATTTCTTATGATTGTGTCAGTTTTTCTTAGATAGTTTAATTTGTTAGCCAACAGCTTAGCTAGATTATAATTAAATGTACCAGAAGCTGAAACAATAGGAAGAAGAGGCACTCCGACCTTGTAGATTTTCGGCAAACCATGTATTCTAGCTGGCTGAGAACCTGATGGACGACAAAAACTATATGCTTTTTCTGTTATAAAACCATCATTTTTTAATTGTTTTAATGTTCATATTAATCTATCCTCTTGTATTATTGTTTCAGCAGATTCAACAACTTTAAATGTGTTACAATCATTCAACATTTCAAGCATCTTATTATTGTAATCATCTTTGTCCATTATTACAATTCCTTTGCCTTTGTCTGATTTAGTTACTTGTATTGATTTATCGCAAGAAAGGGTGGGTGTGGGGTGTGAGTGTGTGGATGGGTGTGTGGATGGGTGTGGGTGTGGGTGTGGGTGTGAGTGTGGGTGTGAATGTGGGTGTGAGTCTTAGTGAAGATAATACATCCACACCCACATCCACACCCACATCCACACCCCACACCCACCCCACACCCATACCCACACCCACACCCACACCCACACACACAAACACCCACACACACAAACACCCACACACCCACACCCACACCCTAGTATTTCGGTGTTGCTGGAATCTTATCAAGTGGCAAAACATTCTAGTATAAAAGATTAAAAAAATAAAACTTTGAACCAATACATAAAACCATTTTCGGTATTCAAATGAAGTAGAATCACCATTTTCGGGGTGTGTATAAAGAATTAGAGATTAAATTCAAAGCATCTCAGAACGTTTCTTACTTGCTGAAGAGGCTTCTAATCCATGCTTATACTATGTTATTACATGAAAGAATCGCAACCACCCAATCTGAAACTGACAGGTTAAAGCTCAATTTGTACTAATTCCTATCTAAGTATATTATTATTAAGGAAATCATAGATTCAAAGCGTCACACGACGCATTTCGTCCTTTTGCTGAAGGGACTTATCAGGCATGTTTATAATCTATTATAATTAAAATAAATCCAAAATTATCCAAATAATTGAAGAACTTGACGAAATTTCGTTATAAATCCAAAATAATAGGGTTTGAGAGTGTGACTGTGCGTGGGGCGTAGGTGTGGATGTTTATTTATCTTATCTTTAGTCCTACGTATAACCAACATAATTCAATATATGATCATAATAAATTATTTTCCAAAGAGTTTCATTATTATTCTTACATTTATTTTTAACAAATGAATTTCGCTCTTCATGATAAAGTCATATTGTTGATAATGAATTACTCAATTTTTGATGAATATTTGTAAAATTTGCTGAAATTTCCGATGAACAGTCACTGAAACTAGGGTGTGGGTATGGTGGTAGTTAAAGAGAACAGTATTACCCCCACAGCCACAGCCATATTCACACCCACCCATGATTGCATCATCCTTCAACAACTCACTGAGTGTAATACTCAGAGCGTCAATAAACCTATCTTGTCACGTCATCGCTTAAGTTCACTTATATATAGCTTTGAATCAACTATCTATTCAAAAACAAATGATGCTGTATGGTTTATATATATATATTCGTCAAACCGTCTACAAAATGTTTATCTAATTGCCGTTGTCAAAAGCACAAATTAGCTTATTGTATTGATCTCTTTAACCATGATTTCAGCTAACTTCAATTTTGACACTTTTCCTGTTGATGTTCGAGGAAAGTTGCCTACGAAGCGAATATGTTCGGGTATCTTGTATGCGGCTAGTTTATCGCTGAGAAATAATTTAAGTTCTTCCACTTCACATGTCATAGTTGGTTGGAGTGCCACAAATGCACACACGACTGCGTCTGTAAAACTATCAGGAATCGAGAAGACATGAACTTCAGAAACACTCGGATGTTCTCCGATAACCATTTCGATCTCTATCGGATAAACATTACCTGTATCTCGAATGATAATTTCTTTTTTTCTTCCCACAAAATAGAAATATCCGTCTTGATCCATCTTTGCCAGATCACCTGTTCGCAGCCAGCCATCATCAGTAATTGTCTCAGCTGTTTTTTCACAATCATTATAATAGCCATGCATGACAGAATAACCTCGAGCCCATACTTCACCTTGAATGCCAATCGGTACTGTTATTCCGTTATCATTAACTAATTTCAATTCTATGTGCGGCATACATTGACCGATGGATGTATGTTTTCGATTGTCATTAGACTTGGCATATAAACTACTAGTTAATAGACTTGCACTCTCTGTCATGCCGTACACTTGACCCGTTCGACCAATGCCTAATTCTGTCTCGAGCTTACGCAAAAGTTCAGGCTTTATTGATGTTCCACTTAGACTTACATATTGTAACGATGTCATAGAGTACTTATGTCGATCGGAATGTGCAAGGATGTTATGAAAAAGAGCGGGTCCTGCCATCATACATGTGCACTTTTCCTCATCTATCGCGCGCATGACCGCTGCCGCATCATAGGCCTGAGATGGTATTATAACTGTACATCTGGTTGCCGAAGGAAGAAGCGCACCTCTAATACCAGTACTAATGTGAACCATTGATAGAGGTGCACAATAGCGTAAACAAAACGCGCCAAAATGGTTTGCTAAAATTTTCGTACTGTTTACAATAGCAATATTGGTTAGAACGACTGGTTTTGGATGACCCGTCGAGCCAGAAGTGAATAAAATCGATAGAGGCGAACCTGGATCGATCCATAATTCACGTTTATAAAATAAATCATTTTTTTCCATACTTTGTACACCGCCTCGTTTGATCAAATCATTATAGGTATGCGTACTTCTCATTTGTACTGCAGTAAACTCGTAATTCGATCCAGTGAGAATGATGTGTTTGAGGGTAGACAAACTCTCAAATGATCCATGTCCAAGATCAGATAATGCATTTTTTAATATATTCAGTGTTTTGTCGCTTGCAACCAACACAATTCCTTTGCAGCCCAGTCGTTGGAGCCCATATGCTAGTTCACGTGCTACAGAAGATGGATCCATGTGGACCTGAACAAAATAGTATTTGGTTATTGAAGATGTTTGTTTGCCTACAGATACCTTGATGAGACCAAGTTTTGAAGCAGCATAAGTAAGAATAATATTTTCTGAAGAATTAGGGAGACAGACGGCTAAACAATCGTTCTTCTCGAATCCAAGTTCAAATAGAGACTTGGCCATACAATCAATATCATATTTGAGAGCAGCATAAGTGTATCTCTTGTTTTCATCTAAATACAGATTGGAATACGACGTAAAGCTGAAGTCGAGCAGATACCTTTGAAGATGTAGCATTCATAATCGGGATATTGAGTGGCGAGTTCTTCGAAACTTTGAGCAACAGTTTTGTATTCAAAATGAACCGATGATTCATGGTGAACATGACTGAATGAGAATATTTTTGACGAAGATACGTTGCTATCGACCATGAAAATATTCGATTTCTGATGAATATCATCAATCAATATATGCATACTCTTTTTCTCGTCCACCTGTACACATTTGCATCATACAAATAGTCATTGAAGAAGAGAATACAAAGATAGATAACTGTCGTTGATTGCAACGAAGTGTGAGCAAGAGAAATGAGTGGAACGAGCACGTGATTTTTGTTGCTGTCTTTTTCGTACATCGAAGCATGTTTGATAAATGACTCAATAGATTCCTTCTCATTGTGCTGAATCTTATTTGCTCGACACTGTTTAATCTGTTGGTCGATGCCTCAAAAGATATTAATGAGAGTGTGGGTGTAGGTGTGTCGATGTGTCGGTATGAATGTGGGTGGTGGTCCTCTTTGTAATAACACTCACATCCACACTCATCAGCCCACACCAGCCCACACCCACACCCACCTTGTGATGAAGCAATACAAGAAGATATACGAGACGAAATACAAGTTTATGTACCACTCGATCGAGTAATGTCTACTTTTCTTATAAACTATAATATAAAAATATTCATCCCTTGATATAGATTTCTCAATCGACTGAACATAAAGATAAACATCATGATAGTACAGTAAAAGAATCAATAAAACGTAAAAGAAACGATATATCAACAAAAAAATCATCGAATACAATTGATAAATATTTAAGTCAATTATCTATTTCACAACCATCACCGAAGAAACAAAAGACGATAAATAATCAAGTTGATCAAATTGAACAAGTAACAACAAATGGAACATCAAAAAAGGAAAATTCAAAATCGAAAAAACAAATTAATCATAATAATGACGATTCTTGTATACCTGATTATTTAAAACTATAAAATCGTATATTTAGACAAATGTTAATTAATTCATTAGAAGGTGTTGATAAAATTGTTAAACGATTAAATACAAGTGAAAAAATTAATTATATTCGTCATTATGCTTATTTAATTCATCGTCTATTCTATGTACAGTTACAAGAAAGCCAATGAAAGTATTATTATGATATTGGTACGAAAGAAAATATTTGGTCAGGACGGGTATCTAAAAAATGAGCTGCTAAGAATAGTATGTATCATACTTACGGTCGATCAAAAGCATTAATCGCACAACGTTTAAAAACTATTCAATGGCAACTTCAAGCAGCATCACAAGCATTACAACATTTTGGTAATCAACTATCATCTCAATGTATGTCAGAAATGAATCCTCCATTTGATTTTACAACAATGTCAGCAATGGTTACAGCTGTTGTACGTAAAGGTCAACATAAATTAAAACAACAATTTGAATGTAATAAAAACATGTTAAAATTAGACTCAACAGATCATCGTCTAGTACAAAGTGTTTATGATTTCAAACCAAACCAACAACAAATCCGTTCTAATCGTAATCTATGGAAAGCAATCAATAATAAAAAACAAATTGAAATATTAAAACATCGTATTCATTCAAATCGTTTACCGGCAGCTTTCAATCTTCTTGATTATTCTCTTGATAAAATTGGCAAAATACTTAGCCGATCAAAACAATCTTCTACTAATACTAATGACAACAAGCAACAAACGATATTATCTGCTCGTCGTTTGAAAAAAAATTGACCGATTTAAATATGATATGCTTGAATTAAGTATAGCAACTGATGAAGAAAAAGTACAATATTGGGATAAAATAGCTAAAAATGAAAAAAAAAAGGAAATTATTAACTATTACAGATAAATCAAAGAAACACAATTTACATTCAGATATACTCAAACAATTAATGACAGCTATTGAAGCACGTGAAAAACATATGATTCAACGAGCTGATTATATAAGACAAGAAAAATTGAATTTTTTTCGACGTAGTTCCGGCCTTACAAAACGATATAATGAATATCGATGGCGTCGGAGAAAAACAAAATTAAATATTCGAAATCATACGGATATGTTTCTTTGTTTATATTTTGCCAATACTATTATACCATTATCGAATGAACAATTGATTATTATTAATAAACGTTTGAAATTTATTCTACCATGTCACAGTCATTTCTATTATCGTCAACCTATGAAAAAAATCATTGATCGAAAAATATAATCGTCTCTATAATGAAAATGTTAAAAATCTTACTGATTACTCATTTTCAACACGTGATACACATGCTATTGAATATTTTACTGCAATAAAAAATTTACTTCAACAATTACATACCAAACCAATACCAAAAAGCTTAAACGACATGCTCGATATATGTACATGATGATAAAATCAATGCAACAACGACTACGAAAAGCTAATATTGCTGTTGGACAAACTGATAAAAGCAAATTATTCTTCTTTATTGATGCACATGAATACGAAGAAAAAATAAAAAAATTATATGATAAAAACAAATGCTTATCAAGAAATCACAAATGGTATATGTCCATTAGCAGATGATTACATTCCGTATTAACGTTACTCGATGTTTTATTGAAACACACTGAAATTACTAAAGAACAATATAAACAAATGTATCCAAATTTAAAAACATTAGATTTAGCTCATATTTATTGCAATCTTAAAGTACATAAGGTAAAATGATTCTTTTCTTTTTCTGATAGTTATTCTGTCATGTGTTTCTTATAGCCTGAAATATCAGTTCGATCTGTTCTTGCTTCAATTAATGCACCAGCTAGACAAATATCAAGTTTTCTTGATGAACTTCTTACTCCAATTTATAATTACGCAGCAAAAGATATTACATTCATTCTTCAATGGTATAGATGTTGTTCGAAAGTTAAAAGAATTTCAGTAACAAGGTTATCTAACTTCAACAACATTATTTCTTACATTTGATGTGACTGATTTATATACAATGATACCACGTGATGGTGCTATTGCTGCTTTAACTCGATTCTGTAAAAAATATTCAACAAATGGCAAAATTGGAAATTTCAAAATAGATACTACTTAAGTATTATTCAACCAGCATGTGTTGTTTTAGATACAAATTCATTTACTTATAAAGATAAATACTATCGATAAATTAAAGGCGGTGCCATGGGTTCATCATTTACCATGGTTTTAGCGAATATTTATGTTAGAATGGGAACAAAAATTAATTCAACATCAAAATATACATCATGAAATTTATGGGCGGTAAGTTTCAAATTATTAGTTCGATATTCTTGTATATTAATAAAGATAAATATTTATAGACATATTGACGATACATTTATGATAACTAACTTATCAAAAGAAGATATTCTAAAGAACTTGATGAAACAATAAAAACATAATTCAAATATTAAAATTACTACTGCGATTAGTCAATCATTAGAATATCTTGATGTTACTATTGAAAATAATAATGGACATTTCAAAACATCTATTTATAATAAATCAGCTTGTGAACCTTATATTCTACCTTATGAATCTGATCATTCACGACATGTTCATTTGAATATAATTTATAATGCATTACTTCAAGCGGCACATCTTTGTTCAACTGTAGAAGATTTTGATATGGAACGATTAAGTACAGAAATGATATTATTAGTCAATGGTTATCCACCGAAATTTATACAACAACACATGAAAAACTTCTTTATTAAATATGATGCTATGAATGTGTGAACTGAATTAAATAGTGAAGCATATCAACAACTATATCATAAATTAGTTTACAAACAAACAAGAAGAGAAAATGAAACAACAATTCAAAGTAAAGATCGTTTAATTCAAAAAAAGAAAAAATATGAACATAAAGATCAAATTTATGTTCATTATACATTCGAAAAATTGACCATTATTAAATTTCAAAAACGAATATCGTCAAATATGGCAAAAATACTATGCTTATCCAGGATCACGCTTCAAAAATACACGACTAATTCTTGGTACAATATTAAATCGTACTTTGCAAAGTCTTTTGATACACAAAAAGCCTCCCCGAGATATGTTGACTAGGATGTAACCAACCACAGAAGCAGCTCGAAGAACAATAATGGAACGATTTAAACATTGAAACATGTCTCTTTTATTCATCGAAATTGTGAAGAGTGTTTCTTTCTTGTTTGCTCTCTTTTTTTTTCATTTTTTTTGTCAATATAGGATATTCGTTTATTATTATTAGATCTAGTTATTAATAGAGCATTGTTTTTTTTTCATGTTTATTTTTCTACTAACTGCGTGAAATGTTTCAAATACTAAAGTTTATTTCTTTTCATTATTTAAACTATGATACTTGACTATTAAACATATTGACTCATATCTCCTTCTAGTTGATATTGATTTTTTGTTGCGTTTTCTCTTCCTTTGATAAATGTTCATGTTGAAGCTACAAGTATTTCATTGTATCGTTTTTCTAGATATGCACCAATCAATATCATGCCCACAAAGAATAATCTTCAGGAGGCATTAAAGATATTCAAACAATCGATGTGCGTAACTAATTACGACAATATATGAAAATAAATATCAAAATTGATTTTTTTGTTACTTCTCACTTTTTTTAAGAACGGACATGAACCATAGCCAAAGTGGTAATAACCCAACAGAACCACCAATGCAAAACAACGAAAATAAATTCAACATTGATTGGTTATGATCAAGTGAACTTGTGATAACAAATCAACCTCTACTAGAACTTAGCACCACAAATATGATTCCAAGTTCAAATTGTTTGACTTCTAACCTTCAACATGAAAGCAACATAACAAGAAGACAAGAAGGTCGACAAAGACGCCGCCAAAGACAACGTCAACGACGTCGTGAACAACGAGAAACATTCAGATGACAACAACAAGAACAACTACATCAACATATGTACCAATGGGAGCAACAACAGGAGCGTTTACAACGATAACAGCGACTGCAACAAAATCAACAACGAAGACCAGACCAGTAACGATTGCAATATTGGTCACAACCAAGATATCGAAGACATCAACCATCACCATTAACTGTATGACCAACAGATCCTGAATACTTCAGCGATACATACCACAATTGTTGGATACCAGATGACTTAAGCGATGATGAAAACAACTGGGAACAGCTCGAATTATCCAATAAGCAATTGAATGAATCCTATCACTAAATTTAGAGTCACATTGACTCACATTGTCATATTATGTCTAAATATAATACCACATACATATAAAGACCTCTTTCTTCTGTGTAAAACAAAACGAAAAAAACAAAAACAAAAATAAAACTATAACCCATACTTCAGATGATGCTCATACTTCAAAACATGCAAATAGCCCCCACCCATACTAATACGACTCATGGACAATATATGCAGTAACAAAACACAAAGATCGAAAAGTACACCAAAAACCATGAAGCCAATCCTAACCAACAACCAAACACACCAACACCAGCCAACATTGACGATCCAACAACATGAAGATCATCCATTGACATATTCTCATTATACAAACCATGGACATTAAACAATAAGGTAAAAGTCTCAAATATCTTCGAGTCATTATCAACTGATAAGATCACAGAACTCACACCCAGTTAAAGGAGAATCAATCTCTTTTAATCTATTATTGGAACTTATTCTTAACTTTTAGATAATAGTATATTATGATTATTATTAGCTTGGACGTTTCCTCCAAAAACTTTCGACTATACTAATTCATAATAGGAGAGTTATACTTGTAACATCCTTTAATCATAAGAAGTTGAAAAGTATTACCTTAGCAGTAACCGAAACGCGTCTTGCTAGCTCTTGATTTGATTGAATAATCATTCAATTAACTTACTAAACACGCCCACACCCACAGCAAGCGTGATATAGGATCTTGATGTGGTTGCGGCTGATACGCTCCTCTAGACTCACACTCACACTCACATCCCACATCCATAACTTTATCGAATAAAATCAAAGTTTGATACCAAGCTAACTTAATATCAAAAGGCTATTTGAGAACTGCCCTTCGTAAACCATTCTCCTTGAATATTAAATAACATGAAATGTCTTTAGCACGACTGTTAAATAAAAGAAGTTAAAAAAGAATGTAATATACATAGTACGATCCAAACTGATATGGATATCTCATCATTAGGAAGTCATAAGATATTTCCATATTTTGTCTAAGTTATAGCAAATTGCAATTAAAATATTGTATCTAACAAACATAAATTTATAGAAAGCAGAATAAAGAATACATTTACTGCTAAAACCGACATATTTTCTTTTCTAATATTGAAACACGTGGGTTTTGCATCTTTATTCGTTTCGCATTTTTGTCAAATCAAAAAAGTGAGAGTTTGGGTCTCGTCCATCTTGTAGAGAAAACGATTCTCTACAAAACTCTATATTTGGCTATGCTTATGAATTCAATTTCTATAAACATTTTTTTAGCACAAGAATGTATACTATAATTCAGTTAATGTATTACATACATGAAAGGATAATATTGTCAAAATGTAGTCAAGACCAGGAGCTATCAGAATACATATAATAGTTAGTACTAGATGCGTTCAATTCGAAAATTTTCTGTCTATTTTAATAATGGAATTAAAAAAACGTATCTTGGTGGTTTTAATAGTTCAATATGGTCTACAACCCTGAAGTTTTCATAGGATTTGGAAATACTTGATGTAAACGTGGTTGACATCCTATAGAAATACCCTTGTACGACTCTAATAGGAATTACCATGGCGAAAAATTTGATTCGTCTATTGCGAAGGGGCACACAAGATTTTGTGGTGGATGAAAAGGGAGCGTAGAATAGTAAATTAAATAAAATTTATAAGTACGATAATCTTTTGGCACATTTGCATTCCAAATAGTAGTGCACGGTCATTATTGTCCTCCATTTTCGTACTAATTTCTCGCAGTTTAAATGTACAGAATACCTTGTAGTACTAATCATCGAAATATGTTAGGCTTTGGAATAGGCATTCGCATGATCTTACGTTTGAAGTCTCGAAATTTTGTATCTTTTATCGTTGCTCCGTTTGATAGTTTCCGCCAGCCTTCACTTGGATTAAATATACTAATGTTTTTGGATATACTCCAATCTTTGACACCACTTCGACCAACGACTTTCTGAAGAAAGTATTGTTTCCAACAACGATCACTATAATGGATACCATATGCAACATCTGATGACAATATGATCGACTTGTAAGATTTCAATAGTTGAGCATGGTGTATTCGATGCAACGGTACGGCGCGTGAGGCAATAACAGCTGATGATGGATTTTTATCCCAAGCATTCGAAAATGGTTTTCGATGAATATAAGTTTCTGCAACCGAAGCATTCGGACATTCGACACGATTTTCATGAGACATTCTAAGTAGCTTAAAAGTAATCTGAGCAATATTTGACCTTGTTTGGTTTTGTATGACTTTTTGAACTGAATTTGATGATCGTGGATATATAAAAACGTCAAGATCAGAGAATAGAGTCCAAACACACCGATCTCTTGTGAATAGCAGAGCATGCGTGTATGCTTGATGTTGAGATCGTCTCCATGGCCATGGAATAATTTCAAGGTCAGTTCTATTTGCAAACAATGTTCTGAGTCCATCTGTTGAATTGTTGTCATAAATTATCAGATGATCAAAACCGACACGACGATGATATTCAAGCCATTCATTCACCAAATACGCCATATTTCTAATAGTTGTAACGAAGCATAGGAAATACCGCGGCTTTTTAATTATCTGGTGATGCTGCGGAATGTACCGGACAACTGAATCAACAATTTTTTTCCCGTTTATTATGGTTAGTTTGTCTCCAAATTGCAGGTCTGCAGGAAGAGAGCAAAGGAACGCTATATAATTATTGAAAATAAACGATTTTTTCGCCTCTTTCATCCTAGTTCTCCGATGACCAAGTAAACAGAGCATATGTTTAGTATGACCCACAATTCCTTGACCAAAAAGCCATATGAATCCAGGCGGTCCAGGTGCACTAGTATAAATCAGTTCAATCGTATCATTCCACAGAAAACTTAGTGAAGCCTCATGAACTATTGGCATCTTTTCTGGCAATTCATTATCATCAAGATATTGAACCATGAGAGAACGGAGATTCATCCAAATACATATGAGCCCACCAATTATTCCAATCCATAATCCACAAAATGTAAATTTTCTTTTGCAAATATTCTTCATTTTTCTATATGAGAACTTTCGAGTGCAATCAGTGTATTTTGTATTAATAATTCAGTTAGGTTAGGATAGCAAAAATGCATTATCATCTGTCATAGTTTTCGAACCACAAGGGTTGTATAACATCGATCATCATGAGTAATTGTTACGGTCATCTGTATTAAAGCTGGAACATACAGAAGAAAATCTATAATAAAGGATGTGTATTAAGTTCTGATTCTCTTGAAGTAATATTCTTTTCTTATATGTTTTTTCAGTAGAATAGACTGATATTTGCATCATATATACTAGACATCTACATCTATTATGCATCAGAATTTCAGTTTTGTGTCTTCTATAGTCAGAGAGACACAAGTAACGTAAAATCAATAGGAGTTTTTTTTGATTTATTTGTAAAGTTTTTTCTGCAATTGCCTAAAAGATGTTAAACAAAAACAATCGTTTCGACGACATTTACAAATCAAAATTCTTTAAACATAATAAAAAAAAAGCGTGC